TCTGCTATGCGCTTGGATGCAGACGTTCTCGTGTAAGCCGCATTCTGTTGTGTTCATTTCAAATAATTTCTCTCTTATTTTGGAATCGAAACTCACCAAATTCGGCCATTTTTTACTTTGGGGCACCGCACGCGAGCACGCTCGCCGGTGACAACCTAGGCCACGCCTACTGCGCATGGCCTCTGCCAAAAAAGTTTATAATTAGCAGCATTAATTAACACGTTTCTTATAGGGTTCACAACGCTGCTTGCCTGTTTAATCTTCCCATTCGGTTGGGCTCATGCTCAAGTCCATGAGATCTGCCATTCGCAAAGCTACGATTTCGGCGTGTGTCGCCTAGGCTCCGCCTACTTGCTGGCCGCGCTGCTTTGCGCTGACCACTTGAGTTTGTCTGCGTTAGCTTTCCTGATCGCCGCTAAACAACCCCCGCCTCTGATGTTGGGCAGTGATTGCGTTCAACTCTACTGTGAGTCGCTTCAATTTTAACTAATTTACCCCCTTTTTTGCAAAAAAACTGAAATTCACAACCCGAATATTTGAATATCCCAGTTTTCAAAAAAAAATTTTGAAAAATTTCAGCCGTTCCTCAAATTTCCGGCTCTTCCAGTGGAAAAACAACAGCCACAATGCATCCGATCAGCTATCAATTGCAACGTTCATTCAGTACCGACGGCAACTGCTCTATGATACTGCCACTTTAAGTGTCAACGCTCTGATCCGGAATCACCCTGATCCGGAATCACCACGGCTCTGATCCGAATCCGGAATCACCCTGATCCGATTCCAGAATCACCACGGCTCTGATCCATCTTCCCCACGAAGATCAGCCACCCACTCGGATCAACTAACTTTCCCTAATTATCCTCCGGATAACTGCCATTCTACTGTGTATAATTCATGTCAAATTCACTACTCGAATACTACTTACTCGTTTATACATTATTGTACACACACACACACAACATCCATCGCTCGTCGAATCAATCAATCAATCAATCAATCNCAATCAATCAATCAATCAATCAATCAATCAATCAATCAATCAATCAACTCCAACCCAAATCAACATAAAACTAATTCCAAAAATCTCTAAACACCATAAACACCCCACAAATACATACGCCTATACATAGGGCCGAATCAATCGCAATAAAAATAATAATAACAAAAATAAAAATAAAATAATAACAATAATAATAACGAGAATACATCCGTCGAATCCACATTCCCCGCAGTGTTTATGTTGAGGTCCACAACAATAGCAATACTTCGGACAATAACTGTAATAAAACAGTAATAATAGTAATCATAATCATTACAATAATAATAATAATCATAATATTAATAACTACAATAATAATAATAATAATAATAATAATAATTACAATAATAATAAAATAATAATAATAATAATGACAATAACGATAATACAACTAACAATAATAATACTATACAAGGCGATAGAAAGAGGCACCGAGAGGATTCAGTCTCCAAAGCAACCTAACCACCTCAACAACACAACACTACATCAGATATTATGCTCCTCTCGGAAGCGTTTCGCTTCCTCGAACGCCATTTGCTCACGTAGAAACTTCTCGTACTCCTCTTTTCGACGCTTCTCGTTTATCGACTGTTTGAACGCCAGAATCTCCGCATCGCCAGCCGACGAATCAGGAAACTGGTAGTTACGCATCTGAATCGATACCATCCAAATCATGAGATCACATCTCGATCACTTGATCACAAGTGAAACCACAATTCAATGTCACCTATTTACTTTGGAGGAGAGGGAGGAGGTCGCACACGAGCACGCTCGCTTGCGACAACCTAGGCCACGCCTACCGCGCACTGGCCCCAGCCTAACCATAACTATAAGTGTGACCTCAGCCTCCTATCTAAACCTGAGCCTCAGATCACTCTCAGTCATAACACTCAAACGTTATTCAATACCACACCTAAGTGGATATCACCTCAGGTCAAAACAAACCAATCAGCAATCAAACAACCAAAAAACTCCAACGTACATATTTCTTGAATACATCCGGTTGATTGAACAACCAGAACGCGAACACCGGGAATGCCACCAGTCCAAAGAAACGTCCCGTTTCCAGTTTCCAACCGCCCATTGCTAACTCCACTACTCGTTCCTCTTCAATGCTCTCTCTTCCAATTTCAATATATTCCACTCAATTCAGCCAAAAATATTGCGCTGCAAAAATAAATTAAATATGCAAATCCAAATATAACAACAACAACAATAACAATAATAATAATATCAACATTAACAATAATTACAGTAATAATAACAATAATAATATAACAATAATAATACATCATACTTTACTTGGGATCGGTCGCACGCGAGCACGCTCGCGTATCACAACCCAGGCCACGCCTACTGCGCAAAACGTGCCAATATAACAATAATAATGCTAACATATTACCCGGAACCATGGCAAATTCATAAAAATACTAATCATACTCATCAATATAACCATATTATCAAACAATTAACAAAACAATAATAATAATAACGATCATAATAATAATCATAATAACATTAACAATAATAATAACAATAATAATAATAATAATAATAATAACAATAATAATAATAACAATAATAA